ATGCATCTTTGGCAATCTCAGTACATCTTCGGATTTCAGTGTCACACTTTCTGCCCTCTGTTAGAACACTTTCCAGATATTTAATTTTTTCTGCTTGTTTGATTTTAGTATCCCCGGTTTATAATTTGCATTTTGGGATCATCATTTTTTTGCTGACAGCCATGCATTCTGTCTTCTTGTAGTTTATATTTAGTCCTTTCTTCTTGCTTTCCTTCACTATCCTAGATTTTGTAGTTTCGTTTCCGCGTCTGCTATTAACACTGAGTCATTTGAATATCTTAGACTGTTGCCACAAATAACAAATTCCGCCAGGACATATAATTCTCTCGGAATTGCCTCGCTGTATTGATTGAACATATCCGGCGAGAGGACGCATCCTTGTCTTACGCCCCTTTCTATTTTTGTATATCTGCTTAACTCATTTTCTACCCGTATGCAGATAGTTTGCTGCCAGTATAGGTTCTTGATTATTTCAATATCCTTCCCAAATATGTCAAGGTTGCTGATCAGCTCTAGCAGATCGTTGTGGTGTACTTTATCGAACGCTTTTGCGTAATCTATAAAACACAGGTACACGTCCTTCTGTATTTGCATTGCTCTTTTTGATAATATACTGAGTATAAATATCCCGTACCTTGTTCCGGTGTCTTTGACAAACCCGCACTGTTCTTGTCCTATCTCTGGCATGATTCTGCCATGCGCTCTATTCATCAGAATTCAGATGATGAGTTTTGTTATATGGCTCACCAGGCTTATAGTCCGGTGGAGTTCACTTTCATCATCTGCGCTTGGTTTCTTAAGCAGTGCTATGAAAATCGATCTCTCCCGGTATATCGCCACTATCGTCGATGTCGTTTTTTTCTGTGATCTTGTCTATGCCGAAATCATCTAAGGCCGCCAGCATCTCTATTACAATTCCGTCTGGCCCTGCCGCTTTGTTTCTGTTCAATTTGGCCAGTGCAGCTTCCACTTCGGTTTTTAATATTTCCAGCCCGTCGGTATTTCTGTCTATTGCCAGTTGTTGTCGTGGAAGAGATCTCCGTTATAGTCTTTAGTATTTTTGTTTCTCTAATAGTGTTCCGTCCCTGGATTTTACGTATCCTGTTGATGAGCATCTCTTTTGCCCTGCTAGTTTTTTTTCTATGCATATCTGCTTTATCTGTGATACTCATTCTTTCTATTTCTGCACATTTTTCGTTGAGCCACTCCTCTTTAGCCTGCCTGCATTTGTTCCTTATTTCCTTGCGTAGTATTCTATATTCTGTTCCGTGTCTTGGCCTTGTTTTCTGTCTCCTTTTCATCGTGTCGAGAATCTCATCTCTCATACATTCGATTTGTTCTTTTTCGTCTATTTGGCTTTGGGCTGGTCCCGTTTGCTGATGTCACTAAAGCTTCTTTTAGTGAGTCTCCCTTCGAGTTTCCATTTTATCCTTTGTATATTCCTTTTCACACTACCCAGATATTTCTCTTTCAGGTTTGGGTCGTTCAAGAGTCTGTTGTATTGCATTTTGGGTACTCCGTTAGGTCTCTTCAGCTTCCGTAGTTTCTTTCTTAGTTTACATAGAACAGCGAGGTGATCACTTCCGCTGTCGGCTCTTGGAGAGATTTTTCAGTGTACAACTGCATTCCTGTATCTTTTGTTGATAGTTATCAAAACGATTTTGTTTTTCTTTTCTCATCTTGGGCTTCTCATCCACATTCGTCAAGGATGTTCTTGAAACCAGGTGTTGCCTACTGCCTGGTCATTCGCTGTACACCATTCGACCCATTTTTCTCCGCCTTCATTACAGGTTTCTAGTCCGAATTTGCCAGCTATTTCACCATTCCACTCTCTGCCTACTTTGGCATTCAGGTCTCCCGTGAGAATTATAACTTCTTGGGATTTACACTGTGACTTGGCGTTGTCAAGTGTAGAACTTTTCGAGTTCTTCTTCTGTAATTTGTGATGTCGGTGAATAAACAATTATTATGGATATGTATAAAGACTTTCCTTTGAGTTTAACGACAAGAATTCTTTCAGATAACTGAGAGTATCCCAGAACGCATTTTTCATGTCTTCATCTAATATCACTCCTACTCCTCTTTCAATTTTCTAAAATGGAGAGGTATTGGCTCCGTCAGGTTAAAAGGACCAAGACACGCCACATGATGAGCACACCAAGAAATCATTCATCATGTCGAGAATTTCACATGTCATCCATTCATTTTTTTCGTCTATTTTCCTTTGGGATGATCTCGATTGTTGATGTTACTAAAGTTTCTCTTAATGTCTCCCAACTCAACTTACTATTTTCATTTTGTCCCGCTTATCTGCTTTTTACACTGTCCATATTTTTCAGATTTTCGTCGTTCAAGAGTCAATATTTACTAGCCACCCCCCCCACCTCCCAACCCACACACGAGGGTAGATGGGACACAAGGCCGAGTTTAACGTGGGTCATTCGAACCCGTAGTCTCGGCCAAAAATTCCCCGTAGAACCCGCATAAACCGGTTTAGGTATGTCTACCTGCCCGGACGAGACTCTACCCTTCGGCACAGGCTCGTCCGGGTTCCTCTCTGCCTTTGGGCAGAGTGTTCGACAGCACAGCTGGAACAGATCCCCGCTAGTCTTCAAGAGTCTGTTGTATTGCAATTTGGATGCTGCCTTAGGCGTCTTTAATTTCCGTACTCATATTTCCGTTTATATATTACCGGAAGGTAATTGTTTTCACAGTTGGCATTTTGGATATGCAGTGTAAATCTACATTCCTGAATTTCTTTTTAATATTTATCTAGTCGATTTGTTTTTTTTTTTTTTTTTTTTTTTCTCATCCTGGGCTTCTCCATGTTCATTTTCGTCTAGGGTGTTCTTAAAACCAGGTGCTAGCTAATACCCGGTTATTCACCGTACACCACTGGACCCATTTTTTTCATTACAGATTTTTTCTTCTCTACTTTGCCTTGTCGGTGAATAAACAATTATGATGGATATGTTGAAAGGCTTTATTTTAAGTTTAGCGACAAGAATTCAATCAGATAACTAACAGCATCCCTGAACGTATTTCTTCATCTCTTGATCTAATATCAGTTCTACTCCTCTTTCATTTTTCGCTCCGACTGCATCTAAAATCCTCTGTTTGTCACTGAAAAAATCTCCATTGTTGGTCACGTTGTTTCACATACGCCTGAGCTGTTGACATTTAACCCGCTCATCTCCTGTTTTATATTTTCTAACTGGCTACAGTGGTTTATCGTTCTAACATTCCATGCCTCGAGAATTTTTTTTTTTTTTTTTTTTTGATGAGAACAGTCGTTGGATGACGGTCAGGTGACTCCTGTCACTTCTGACCGGACAAAGAATCAATTCCGAGGAGTTTTATGGCTGGAGATGACATGGAAAAGAAGGAAAAAATAAAAGTAACTTTAAAAGTAATAGGATACACATTGTGATGAATAATCAGTAGTGGTCTCCCCTTGTTTTGTTACTCTCCTCTTTGAGAGAGCTATTTCTGTTTACGATATTGAGTCCGCCCCCACGAGGGTGTCATGTGGCACAAGGCCTTTTTAACGTGGGCATTTCCGAGCCATTAGGCTCGGCCAAAAATAGCCCATTTGAACCCGTATAAACGGGTTCAGGGCCGGTT